TTGCCCGAGTGGTTATTAGGCATGACAACAGATTATGGTAGGGTGGGTGTGCTAGAGTGATTATTGGGCATGGCTAGAAATCATGTGGGCTTTGCCCTTGCCACTCACGAATGAATTTTTTTCTTCTTTTAGTGTATCACGGTCGTACTTCTTCAACCAGAGTGATGTGCTCCGTTGCAGGGGTTGCCTGAGTGGTTATTAGGCATGACTACAAATTATGATAGGGTGGGTGTGTCGGAGTGATTATCGGGCATGTCTAGAAATTATGTGGGCTTTGCCCGCGCAGGTTTGAATCCTGCCACTCACGAATGAATTTATTTTTCTTCTTTTATAGTGTGTCACGGTCGCACTTCTTCAACCAGTGTGATGATCCGAACTCAAGCCCCATTCAAAATTTTCATCCTGCTGATCTAAAACAATCTTTAAAATTGTGTGCTCCGTTGCAGGGGTTGCTCGAGTGGTTATTAGGCATGACTACAGATTATGGCAGGGTAGGTGTGCCGGAGTGATTATCGGGCATGACTAGAAATCATGTGGGCTTTGCTCGCGCAGGTTCGAATCCTGCCACTCGTGAATGAATTTTTTTTTTCTTTTTTTCTTCTTTCAGTGTGTCAGGGTCGTACTTCTTCAAACGACATGATGATCCCAAACTCAAGCCCCATTCAAAATTTTCATCCGGCTTTGTGCTTTCGTCAGAACTTCAACGAGATTTACCTTTGCCAACCAAACATCACTTGTACAGAATCTAAGCTTGTTCGACCACACGCGTCGTTCGTGCGGCTCTAAAACAATCTTAAAATTGTGTGCTCCGTTGCAGGGGTTGCCCGAGTGGTTATTAAGCATAACAACATATTATGGCAGGGTGGTTATGCTAGAGTGGTTATCGGGCACGACTAGAAATCATGTGTGCTTTTGCCCACGCAGGTTCGAATCCTGCCACTCACGAATGAATTTTTTTCGAATTTTTTTTTCTTCTTTAGTGTGTAATGGTCGTAAGTCTTCAACTGACATGATGATCCCGAACTCAAGCCCCATTCAAAATTTTTATCTGACTTTGTGCTTTGTGGTTTCGTCAGACCTTCAACCTTCAACAAGATTTACCTTTTCCAATCAAACATCAGTTGTACTTAGCTTGTTCGACCACACGCGTCGTGCTACTCGAGTGGTTATTGGGCATGACTATAATTTTAGATTTTAACTAAAACAATCTTAAAATTGTGTGCTCCGTTGCAGGGGTTGACCGAGTGGTTATTAGGCATGACTACAAATTATGGTAGGGTGGGTGTGCCGGAGTCGTTATTGGGCATGGCTAGAAACCATGTGGGCTTTGTTTGCAGGTTCGAAACTTGCCACTCATTAATGAATTTTTTTCTTCTTTCAGTGTGTCACGGTCATACTTCTTCAACCGGGGTGATGTGCTTCGTTGCAGGGGTTGCCCGAGTGGTTATTAGGCATGACTATAGATTATGGCAGGGTGGGTGTGTCGGAGTGATTATCGGGCATGACTAGAAATCATGTGGGCTTTGCCTGCGCAAGTTCGAATTCTGCCACTCTTGAATGATTTTTTTTTTTCTTTTTTTCTTCTTACAGTGTGTCACGGTTGTACTTCTTCAAACGACATGATGATCCCTAACTCAAGCCCCATTCAAAATTTTCATATGGCTTTGTGCTTTGTGGTTTGGTCCAAGTATCACTTGTACAAAATTTAAGCTTGTTCAACCATACGCATGTAGAACACGCATCTAAAACAATCTTAAAATTGTGTGCTCAATTGCAGGGGTTGCTCAAGTGGTTATCGGGCATCACTGTGCTGGAGTGGTTATCGGGCATGACTGGAAGTCATGTGGGCTTTGCTCACGCAGGTTCGAATCTTGCCACTCACGAATGAATTTTACGACGTGCTGAAGTGGTTATTATCTCGGGCATGACTTCTCAATTGCAGGGGTTGCTCGAGTGATTATTAGGCATGACTACAGATTATGGCAGGGTGGGTGTGAATTTTTTTCTTCTTTTTTTCTTCTTTTAGTGTGTCACGGTCGTACATCTTCAAACAACATGATGATCGTGACATTCAAATTTTTCATCCGGCTTTGTGCTTTGTGGTTTCCTCCAAACATCACTTGTAAAGAATTTAAGCTTGTTCGACCACACGCGTTGTTCGTGCTGCTCTAAAACAATTTTAAAATTGTGTGCTCCATTGCAGGGGTTGCCCGAGTGGTTATTAGGCATGACTAAGATTATGGCAGGGTGGGTGTGCCGGAGTGGTTATCGGGCATGACTAGAAGTCATGTGGGCTTTGCTCACGTAGGTTCGAATCTTGCCATCATCCGGCTTTGTGCTTTGTGGTTTTGTCAAACCTTCAACGAGATTTACCTTTGCCAACCAAACATCACTTGCACATAATCTAAGCTTGTTCGACCACACGCGTCTCCTCTAAAACAACCTTAAAATTGTGTGCTCCATTGCAGGGGTTGCCCGAGTGGTTATTTGGCATGACTATATATTATGGTAGGGTGAGTGCGCCGGAGTGGTTATCGGGCATGACTAGAAATCATGTGGGATTTTGCCCGCGCAGGTTCGAATCTTGCCATCATCCGGCTTTGTGCTTTGTGGTTTCGTCAAACCTTCAACGAGCTTTACCTTTGCCAACCAAACATCACTTGCACATAATCAAGCTTGTTCGACCACATGCGTCTCTTCTAAAACAATCTTAAAATTGTGTGCTCCATTGTAGGGGTTTCCCGAGTGGTTATTTGGCATGACTATATATTATGGTAGGGTGAGTGTGCCGTAGTGGTTATCGGGCATGACTATATACAAGGATATAATCTTGTCACTCGCGAATGAATTTTTTTCTTCTTTTTTTCTTCTTTTAGTGTGTCACAGTCGTACTTCTTCAAACAGCATGATGATCCTGACATTCAAATAATTAAGCTTGTTCGACCACACGTCGTTCGTGCTGCTCTAAAACAATCTTAAAATTGTGTGCTCCATTGCAGAGGTTTCCCTAGTGGTTATTAGGCATGACTTAGATTATGGGTTGAGTGTGCCGGAGTGGTTATTGGGCATGACTAAAAGTCATGTGGGCTTTGCTCGCGTAGGTTCGAATCTTGCCATCATCCGGCTTTGTGCTTTGTGGTTTCGTCAGACCTTCAACGAAATTTACCTTTGCCAACCAAACATCACTTGCACATAATCACATAATCCGCGTCATTCGTGCTGTTCTAAAATAATCTTAAAATTGTGTGCTCAATTGCAGGGGTTGCCCGCAGTGGTTATTAGGCATGACTATAGATTATAGCAGGGTGAGTGTGCCGGAGTGTGGTTATCTCGGGCATGACTAGAAATCATGTGAGCTTTGCCCGTGCAAGTTCGAATCTGGCCACTCACGAATGAATCTTTTTTCTTCTTTTTTTCTTCTTTTAGTGTGTCGCGGTCGTACTTCTTCAAACAACACGATGATCCCGACATTCAAATTTTTCATCCTACTTTGTGCTTTGTGGTTTCGTCCAAACATCACTTGTAAAGAATCTAAGCTTGTTCGACCACATGCGTCTCCTTCAAAACAATCTTAAAATTGTGTGCTCCATTGCAGGGTTGCTCGAGTGGTTATTAGGCATGACTATATATTATGGTAGGGTGAGTGTGCTGGAGTGGTTATCGGGCATGACTAGAAATCATGTGAGATTTGCCCGTGTAGGTTCGAATCTTATCACTCATGAATAAAAAATTCAAATTTTTCATTCGGCTTTATGTTCTGTGGTTTCGTCCAAACATCACTTGTACAGAATTTAAGCTTGTTCGACCACATGCGTTGTTCGTGCTGCTCTAAAACAATCTTCAAATTGTGTGCTCCATTGTAGGGGGTTGCCCGAGTGGTTATTAGGCATGACTAAGATTATGGCAGGGTGGGTGTGCCGGAGTGGTTATCGGGCATGACTAAAAGTCATGTGGGCTTTGCTCGCGCAGGTTCAAATCTTTCCATCATCCGGCTTTGTGCTTTGTGGTTTCGTCAGACCTTCAACGAAGATTTACCTTTGCCAACCAAACATCACTTGCACATAATCACATAATCTAAGTTTTTTCGACCACACGCGTCGTTCGTACTGTGTGCTCAATTGCAGGAGTTGCTCGAGTGGTTATTAGGCATGACTACAGATTATGACAAGGTGGGTTTGCTGGGGTGGTTATCTTGGGCATGACTAGAAAGTCATGTGGGCTTTGCTCCGCAGGTTCAAATCTTGCCACTCATGAATAAATTTTTTAATTTTCATCCGGCTTTGTGCTTTGTGGTTTCGTCTAAACATCTTGTACAGAATCTAAGCTTGTTCGACCACACGCGTCTCCACTAAAACAATCTTAAAATTGTGTGCCCAATTGCAGGGGTTGCCCGAGTGGTTATTAGGCCTGACTACAGATTACGGTAGGGTGGGTGTGTCGGAGTGGTTATCTTGGGCATGACTAGAAAGTCATGTGGGCTTTGCTCCGCAGGTTCGAATCTTGCCACTCATGAATAAATTTTTTAATTTTCATCCGGCTTTGTGCTTTGTGGTTTCGTCTAAACATCTTGTACAGAATCTAAGCTTGTTCGACCACACGCGTCTCCACTAAAACAATCTTAAAGTCTAAACATCTTGTACAGAATCTAAGCTTGTTCGACCACACGCGTCTCCACTAAAACAATCTTAAAATTGTGTGCCCAATTGCAGGGGTTGCCCGAGTGGTTATTAGGCCTGACTACAGATTATGGTAGGGTGGGTGTGTCGGAGTGGTTATCTGGGGCATGCCTAGGTGGGTGTGTCGGAGTGGTTATCTGGGGCATGCCTAGAAGTCATGTGGACTTTGCTCACGTAGGTTAGAATCTTGCCACTCAACATCACTTGTACAGATTCTAAGCTTGTTCGACCACACGCGTCTCCTCTAAAACAATCTTAAAATTGTGTGCTCTATTGCAGGGGTTGCCCGAGTGGTTATTAGGCATGACTATATATTATGGTAGGGTGAGTGTGCTAGAGTGGTTATCGAGCATGACTAGAAATCATGTGGGCTTTGGCCGCGTAGGTTCAAATCCTGCCACTCACGAATGAAATTTTTCATCTTTTTTTCTTCTTTTAGTGTGTCATGGTCGTACTTCTTCAAACAGCATGATGATCCTGACATTCAAATTTTTCATGTACAGAATTTAAGCTTGTTCGACCACACGCGTCGTTGTTCGTGCTGCTTTAAAACAATCTTAAAATTGTGTGCTCCATTGCAGGGGTTGCCCGAGTGGTTATTAGGCATGACTAAGATTATGGCAGGGTGGGTGTGTCGGAGTGGTTATCGGGCATGACTAAAAGTCATGTGGGCTTTGCTCGCGCAGGATCGAATCTTGCCATCATCCGGCTTTGTGCTTTGTGGTTTCGTCAGACCTTCAACGAGATTTACCTTTGCCAACCAAACATCACTTGCACATAATCACATAATCTAAGCTTGTTCGATCACACACGTCGTTCGTGCTGCTCTAAATTATGGCAGAGTGGGTGTGTCGGATTGGTTATCTCGGGCATGACTAGAGAAAGTCATGTGGGCTTTGCTCGCGCAGGGGTGGGTGTGCCGGAGTGGTTATCGGGCATGACTAGAAAGTCATGTGGGCTTTGCTCGCGCAGGTTCAAATCTTGCCACTCACGAATGAATTTTTCTAAGCTTGTTCGACCACACGCGTCTCCTCTAAAACAATCTTAAAATTGTGTGCTCCATTGCAGGGGTTGTCAGAGTGGTTATTAGGCATGACTATAGATTATAGTAAGGTGGGTATGTTGGAGTGGTTATCGGGAAAGCCCACCTGCGCAGGTTCGAATCCTGCCACTCACGAATGAATTTTTTTTATTCTTTTAGTGTGTCACGGTCGTACTTCTTCAAGCAGCATGATGATCCCGACATTCAAATTTTTCATCCGGCTTTGTTCTTTGTGGTTTCGTCCAAACATCACTTGTATAGAATTTAAGCTTGTTCGACCACACGCGTCATTCGTGCTGCTCTAAAACAATCTTAAAATTGTGTGCTCCATTGTAGGGGTTGCTCGAGTGGTTATTCGGCATGACTAAGATTATGGCAGGGTGGGTGTGTCGGAGTGGTTATCGGGCATGACTAGAAAGTCATGTGGGCTTTGCTTGCGCAGGTTCGAATCTTGCCACTCACGAATGAATTTTCACTTGTACAAAATCTAAGCTTGTTCGACCACACACATCTCCTCTAAAACAATCTTAAAATTGTATGCTCCATTGCAGGGGTTTCCCGAGTGGTTATTAAGCATGACTATATATTATGGTAGGGTGGGTGTGCCGGAGTGGTTATCGGGCATGACTAGAAATCATGTGGGCTTTGCTCGCGCAGGTTCGAATCCTGCCACTCACGAATGAATTTTTTTGCTTTGTGGTTTCGTCCAAACATCACTTGTACATAATTTAAGCTTGTTCGACCACACGTGTCGTTCATGCTGCTCTAAAACAATCTTAAAATTGTTTGCTCCATTGTAGGGGGTTGCTCGAGTGGTTATTAGGCATGACTAAGATTATGGCAGGGTGGGTGTGCTGGAGTGGTTATCGGGCATGACTAGAAGTCATGTGGGCTTTGCTTGCGCAGGTTCCAATCTTGCCACTCACGAATAAATTTTTTAATTTTCACTCAATTGCAAGGGTTGCCCGAGTGGTTATTAGGCATGACTACAGATTATGGCAGGGGGTGGGTGTGTTAGAGTGGTTATCTCAGGCATGATTAGAATTCATGTGGGCTTTGCTCACGCAAGTTCGAATCTTGCCACTCACGAATGAATTTTTTATTTTCATTTTAATTTTCATCACCACACGCGTCTCCTCTAAAACAATCTTAAAATTGTGTGCTCCATTGCAGGGGTTGCCCAAGTGGTTATAAGGCATGACTATATATTATGGTAGGGTTGGTGTGCCAGAGTGGTTATCGGGCATGATTAGAAATCATGTGGGCTTTGCCCGCGTAGGTTCGAATCCTGCCACTCACGAATGAAATTTTTCATCTTTTTTTCTTCTTTTAGTGTGTCATGGTCGTACTTCTTCAAACAGCATGATGATCCCGACATTCAAATTTTTCATGTACAGAATTTAAGCTTGTTCGACCACACACGTCGTTGTTCGTGCTGCTTTAAAACAATCTTAAAATTGTGTGCTCCATTGTAGGGGTTGCCCGAGTGATTATTAGGCATGACTAAGATTATGGCAGGGTGGGTGTGTTGGAGTGGTTATCGGGCATGACTAAAAGTCATGTGGGCTTTGCTCGCGCAGGATCGAATCTTGCCATCATCTGGCTTTGTGCTTTGTGGTTTCGTCAGACCTTCAACAAGATTTACCTTTGCCAACCAAACATCACTTGCACATAATCACATAATCTAAGCTTGTTCGATCACACGCGTTGTTCGTGCTGCTCTAAATTATGGCAGGGTGGGTGTGTCGGATTGGTTATCTCGGGCATGACTAGAGAAAGTCATGTGGGCTTTGCTCGCGCAGGGGTGGGTGTGCTAGAGTGGTTATCGGGCATGACTAGAAAGTCATGTGGGCTTTGCTCGCGCAGGGGTGGGTGTGCCGGAGTGGTTATCGGGCATGACTAGAAAGTCATGTGGGCTTTGCTCGTGCAGGGGTGGGTGTGCCGGAGTGGTAATCTGGCATGACTAGAAAGTCATGTGGGCTTTGCTCGCGCAAGGGTGGGTGCGGGAGTGGTTATCTCGGGCATGACTAGAAAGTCATGTGGGCTTTGCTCGCGCAGGTTCAAATCTTGCCACTCACGAATGAATTTTTCTAAGCTTGTTCGACCACACGCGTCTCCTCTGAAACAATCTTAAAATTGTGTGCTCCATTGCAGGGGTTGTCAGAGTGGTTATTAGGCATGACTATAGATTATAGTAGGGTGGGTATGGTGGAGTGGTTATCGTGAAAGCCCACCTGCGCAGGTTCGAATCCTGCCACTCACGAATGAATTTTTTTTATTCTTTTAGTGTGTCACGGTCGTACTTCTTCAAGCAGCATGATGATCCCGACATTCAAATTTTTCATCCGGCTTTGTTCTTTGTGGTTTCGTCCAAACATCACTTGTATAGAATTTAAGCTTGTTCGACCACACGCGTCATTCGTGCTGCTCTAAAACAATCTTAAAATTGTGTGCTCCATTGTAGGGGTTGCCCGAGTGGTTATTAGGCATGACTAAGATTATGGCAGGG